GCTGCCGGGCCGCTGCCAGCGGCCATCCCCTCTCCCCGCGCTCGGGCGGCAGGGGGGCCCCCCCATCGAGCGACCAGCCGGGGTCACCCACCACGAGCAGCGCGGCGCGATCCTTGACGGTGGGTGCTCGGCGGTCGGTTCGCAGCTGCCTCCGCGCCGCCATGGCCGCGTGGCTGAGCCATGGCGCGACTCACGGAGGGCTCGAGCCGAGGGCTTGCGAGGAGGAGGAGGAGGAGGAGGACGACGACGACCAGTGTAAAGCCAAGACTCATTAACGATGTTGGAATGCACCCTCCCACCAGACTCCCTCTTTATAGGCTCCTACAAGGGGTCGTTTCCACAGATGGAATTGACCCGTACGGGGACAACCGATTGAAAATCCTGAACAGTGCCAGAAGCACAATTCCTAGGAGTCCAACGCCGCGAGTGGGCCTGACTGGCACGTTTTGGCGATCCTGCATCGTGCCAAAACACCATACTTGGGATTTCAACCCCGTTCCCAAATACTATTTCTGATACGCTAACAAAGAACATCAGTGACACCCCTTTGAACTTTTACAACATCATTTTGAAGACGAGCTGCCCTCAATCCGTACATGATTTGCAAATTTGGCAAAACGAATGCACGCGGCGCTCAGGCGAGAGCCACATTTGAAAACGACCTGCCCGCAATCCAGGCAGCCTTTGCCAATTCTCTGAAACGAACGCACGCGGCGCCAAGGCGAAAACCACGTTTTGAAAACCATCCGCCCTCAATCCGCAAAGCCCTGGTCATTCGTTAAAGCGAATGTGCGCGGCGCTAGGGCGATGCGTGGGGCTCTTGCCAATGATCACAACGAATGTGCGCGGCGCTCAGGCGAGAACCTTATTTTGGAAGCGGCCCGCCCTCCATCTGTGAAACTGCTCCCCACCCTAAGCTTCAGAATCATAAGTGGTGGAGAAGTTCCAGGCGGAAAGCCCAGCCCGCCCCTTCGACCAGCCTCGGGGTGCGACAGGGACGAGTATGTAGAAGGGAGGGTGGATCTGGGGAGGCGGAGGACGGAAGATGGGGTGAGGATGGGGGGAAAGGAGGGAGGAGCGAGCAGGAAGGAGCGAGGAGCGAGCTGCCAGGAGGCGCGGGGAGCCAGGAGGCGCGGGGAGCGAGCGGGAGGGGCGAGGTGAAGCGCGGGGGGGAGCGGAACAAATCAACGGCTCGCGGAGCCGAGGGCCCAGGGCACCGCCGAGGACCAGGTCACGGAGCGAGCGCGAGCGCGAGGAGCGATGATAGGGGGGAGGAAGGAGGAGCGAGGAGGAGGAGGAGGACGAGGAAGAAAGGAGGACGAGGAGGAGGAGGAGGAGGAGGAGGAGGAAGAGCGCGGGGAGCGAACGCGAGCGGGAGCGCGAAAAATCAACGACCCGCGGAGCCGAGGCCCCAGGGCATCGCCGAGGACCAGGTCCGTGAGATGTTCGGTCAGTACGGCAGCTCGGAGGGCTGTTAGAACGGTGACGCTGGCCCAGGGTGTGCCTCGGTTCCTCCTCCTCCTCCTCCTCCTCCTCCTCCTCCTCCTCCTCCTCCCCCCTGCGCTCTATCTTGCAGCCCCTGAGGGCCCTCTGGTTCGGTGCGAGCCTTGTATACCCTCGCAAGTTTAGACGCTCGCGTATCCCCACCAGCTTCCGCTGCGTAGCACTGCGGCTGCTTCACCTCTGTGTGGCTGGCGCCTAGGTGCGTTCGCCTTATGTGGAGCATTTTGCTTAATGCATGTGCACATGCGCTTTCTTTGCAAATTATTACTGCAGGTGCGTTGCCTGTTGTAGCTAATTCGCCTCGTCTGCTGGCCCAGACGACGCCTTCCGCTCCCTGTCCGCCGCCTCGGAGCCGCCGACCAAAAAAAATATCCCCACCAGCTTGCCCCACCATGGTCGCACCGTGGTGCTCTTGCGCGCCATGTTGGCTGCGCTTCAGCCTCGTTTGGCCAATTCACGCGCATGCAACTCGCTTTCTGGTGGTTGTTGGCCTTCGGCTCAGGCCACCCTGGTAGCCCTTGCAGTCACAGCGGTCGCTTATGCTTTGCATTCAAATTAGCATCCTGTTGACTCTGGCAGTCGGTCGCCATGGCAGTCAGCACCTGCAGCCGTTGCACGGTTGCACCGCCTGGCAGTGTTGTTGCCCCGCCTTCACTCCGGCGGATTCCTGGTCCCGTTCTGAGTGCCGGTGCTCGGCCTGCTTCTGTTTGGCTAATTAGTACCTCGCGCGGCCCGCCTGGACTTTGACACGCCGCTGTTGCGCTCTTCGTTCGCGGCTGCCGACAAAAAGTATCCCCGCCAGCCACTGCCCCGCAGCCCCGGCGCTGAGGTTTCCCCCAGCGGTAAGTCATGCTCTGCTCTGCGCTAGGCAATTCGGCTCTCGCGCGGCCCGCTTGGACCTCACTCGCAGTTGGCGCTCTCGCCCGCGGTCGCTGACAAAAAGAAATCCCCACCAGCCCATCCAGAAAAAATGTCCAGGCGAGTTGAGGTGATCAGGGAAGTGCGCCAGCAAAGAGGAGGACGGCCGAACCGTGCAAAGGAGTGAGGAGGAGAAGGACGAGGTGGACGGATGGATGGATGAGGGGGTGGGAAAAAGGAGGATTAATCGGATGAGGAGGAGGCGGAGGAGGAGGAGGAGGAGGAGGAGGAGGAGGAGGAGGAGGAGGACGATGAAGAAAAGGATTAGGAGCAGGAAGGAGGAACAGGAGGAGGAGGAGGAGGAGGAGGAGGGCAAGCACAAGGGCCAGAGGTCTCTTGGATGTTTTTTTATTATTATTCGGAGCCTCTTGGAGTATCGCTTGGGCGATTCTTGGTGGCCTCTTGGGACGTTTTGGGGGTCTCTTGGCGATCCTGGGGGGTTCTTCGGGGTCTTGGGTGCCTCGGGGGGGGGCCTACTGGGGCCGCTTTGGTTTTTCTTGGGGGCCGCCTGGGGGCCTCGTGGGGCCATTGCGGGGCCATCTTGGGACCTCTTGGGGCCTCCAGGGCGCTTCTTGGGGCCATCTTGGAGGAGATCGGTCAACGAAGGAGGGTCCCTCAATTAAGGTCCCCCCCAGGAAACCACAATGCGGCCAAAACCTTTGTAAAATCCGTGATTTTGACTTCCTCGCCGAGGCCGTTTTGGACGCTCTAACTATTTGCGGCGCCCCCCGTCCAGGTCCAGGGGGGGGGGTAGGGGGAGGGGTAAACCCCTCCCCGAAGTGGAAGAGGGAGGGGTGGAAGAGGAAACGCCCTGAACCACCGACGCCCAGAGGGCTGGTGGGACTCCGTCTAAGGGCCGACAGGCTGGTATGGGAGACCCCCACGAGTTGCCACCGAACTCTGGGCCTCGGGGTTGTGGTGCTCTGGGGGCCGCGGGGGCAGCATCCTCGGGAATCCAGGGGGCACCTTGGGCCAGGAGCACTTTTCGCAGCACCCGAGGCATCGTCGCCAACTGCCGGGTCCTGGCCAGCAACGGCAATCGAGGAAGAGCAAGCCGCACCGCCAAACATTGTCTGAGCTCCGAGCGGGCTTCTCGGATCTGCGCTTGGCCCATCTGGCGGCGCCTCGGGCGCCGCGGCGCCGCCACGGGCGCGCTCGGCGCGCCAGGGACGGGAGTCCAGCGCAGATCTGAACAGACCCGCGCGGAGCTCCAGACGTCGATGTTCATGCAGTTGTGCCTCCTCCGTAGGCAAGCCCGACGCCGCGGCCCTGGTGCAGATGTCCGACCCGGCCGCCGCCGAGTGGCCCTCCCCGCGGGGCCTCGCAAAGCTAGGGAGGAGGTCCTTCGGTGCCTGTCGGAACTCTTCGGGGGTGTTCGGGGGCCTTCGGAGATCTTCGGAAGCGTGCTGGAGGTTTTTGGTTGCTCTCCAGGGTGGGCCTGAGGTCTTCCGAGGGTTTCGAAGGTGCTCGTATGGCTCAAGGGATGTCCAGAGGTTTTCGGATGTGTTCAGCGGCGAAGGAGGTGTTCGGAGGTATTCGGAGGTGTCGAAAGGTCCTGGAGGTCATCGGAGGTCATGAGATGCGTTCTGAAGTTCTCGTGGGCTGTCGCAAGTTTTCGGGAGTGTTCGGAGGTTTTGACAGGTGTTGGAGTTGCTTGCAGACTCTCGCAAGCTTTCGAAGGTGTTCGAATGTGTTTGGAGACTGGGGGGGGGCGTGGGGGCGTCGGCTTACCTCGGAAGTCGTGCTCATATTGCTCCTCTTGGTGATCCTCGTACCTCATCATCGACCTCCTGCTCCACCCGCACCTCATCCGCATCCTCCTTGCATAACCTCCCACCTTTTGCTTATTCCCCCCATCTTGAATGACCTCTTTTCTACACTCCTCTTCACCTCTCTTCCTCATCACCCCACACGGCCGCCTCTTCGTCCCCATCCTCATCCTCCTCCCCGTCCACATCTTACCGCCCCTGGGAGGACGAGGATGGGGTGGAGGGCGGAGGAATCCGTCGTGGGCCTCCGATCGCGCCCTTCGGCGCCTGGAAGATCATCCCGATTCGCTCTCCGGTCGTGCAGGGGCAACAGGCCCTTGCCTTTGTACGCGACGATCGTGCAAGGGGATGACGGGTGGGACCCTGGCATTCTCGCGTCGTGCAAGACGTCACATCGGAAGGTGGTTGACGATATTTTGCCCTCTGCAGGGCCTCACCAGGCCCATCACACAGAGTTGTTTCGTGACGACACGTCGGTCCCCGGGAAGGAGGTCAGACCTTTGCTGAGCTATGCTTAAACAGCGTCGGATGTCTGGGGGCGGGAACTCCGAGGAGGCGCAGGAGGCAGGGCACTCCGTCGAAGGATGACGCCAGCGTTGCCCTTTCGGCGTCCTGCCCCCCCGCGGGGCCTCTTCGGAGCCAGGACCTTTCATTTGTTTCACTTCCAGTTCAAGAAATAACAGATTTTGAGTAGGAGGAGGAGGAGGACGAGTGTACACTCGAGACGAACCCACGACGGTGTAATACACCTTCCCCCAAGTTCCCTCTCCACATGTCTCTACAAGAAGAATGATGCTCCATTGCGGGAAGTGTCCAATCGAAAGACCACCGTCTGAGGACCTTCAATCTTGGCAATACCAGGTCCGGACGCCAGCGCCGTCAATAAACATGGTTGTTGCGTCCTGGCAGTTCTCAATGTTCAAGGACATCTACCTGGGACTTCAACACTCAATCAACGTTATTTTTGTGCCCTGTCAATCCTACGTCGGGGCGGCACGCCATTGTTGGTATTTCAATTTACGACCCCATGAAATTGTTGCAATTTTGTAAGGCAAAGCTCTGCGATGCTAAAGCATGAGCCACAATTTGAAAGTGATCCGCTCTCCATCCTTCAAGCTACTGCGAATCTTTACGAATGCACTTGGCGCTGAAGCGAGAGTCGCATTTTGAACACCCACCACCCTCCATCCTTGAAGCTGGTGCAGTGCGCGGCGCCAAGGCGAGAGCCACATTTTGAAAATCAGCCACTCTCCACCTTCAAGAAACTGTTGAAACTTCAAAGCTTCAGGATCATTAAGTGGTCCGCCCCGCGGACACGTCTTCGAGTGCGACAGGGAGGAGTTACTCACAATGGACATGCTCGCCGCTGAGAAGCGCACCGGCCCGACACTCCGCTGGGATCCCTTGCCAGAGAAGGAGCGCACGGATGAGAGGGTGGCACTGCCCCAACGGGCACGCGGAGCCTCGAGGGGACAAGGGAAGACTCCCTCGAGGGCCAGCCGTAAATGCACCAGGCCGCGAAGGGGAACGGCAGTTCGCACCAAGGGGAGGATGAGTCCCTCCCTCCTCGGCTGGCCAAAACGGCCACACACACACACACCCTGTTGCCCGCAGGGCCATTGGCCAAGATGGGTCATTGCACGTTTTCGCAGCTTGTGTGACGTTCTTTTTTGGTTGCCGCATGCCTGTTTTCCTTTTACAGTGCCGGTTGTCATCATGCACACGTGATGTCCCATCGTGTCGTTTTTTTCCGATTACCAGTTGTCACACCAGACGTGTCATGCTGACAGTTCGTTTTTCTTGCCATCCTTGGTTATCTCGTTTCGAGTAAGGAGAAGGTGCCAAGTCGTTGTCTGGCTCATGCTGTGCGAGACACGATGGAAGCTGGCCGTCACCGCCGAGCATTTGCAACCCGAGCTCGGCCCGGATCTTGGTGGCTCCTCCCTCCTCCTCAATCCTCCCTCCTCCCTCCTCCCTCCTCCCTCCTCCCTGCTCCCTGCTCCCTCCTCCTCCTCCCTCCTCCCTCCTCGCTCCTCCCTCCTCCTCCTCCTCCTCCTCCTCCTCCTCCTCCTCCTCCTCCTCCTCCTCCTCCTGGGCGGAGCCACGGGGCCGCCGCGCCCGCGAAGCCGCGGCCCCCTGCCGCTGCTGCCGCCTGCTCGGGGTCCTCTCCCTCCCCGGCCTCGCAGGCGGGGGCTGCAGCAGATCGCGTCGGGAGAGGCGGCGGAGGCGGAGGAGGAGGATGAGGGGGAGGGGGAGGAGGAGAAGAAGGGGGAGGAGGAGGGGGAGGAGGGGGAGGAGGGGGAGGAGGAGGAGGAGGAGGAGGAGGAGGAGGAGGAGGAGGAGGAGGAGGAGGATTCCTCCCAGATGGGGTCGGAGTAGATCGCGTCGGGGGATCGCGCGCCAGCGCCGAGGCATCGGCGATGCGGCGCGATCTGGAGCCCGCTCCCCTGCATGCACCACCCAACCCAAGCCACCCCAGCCCAACCTCCTCCTCCCTACTCCCTCCTCCTCCCTCCTCCCTCCTCCCTCCTCCTCCTCCTCCCTCCTCCTCCTCCCTCCTCCTCCTCCTCCTCCTCCTCCTCCTCCTCCTCCTCCTCCTCGGCGGTGCGGCGCGATCTGGAGCCCGCTCCCCTGCATGCACCACCCAACCCAAGCCACCCCAGCCAACCTCCTCCTCCCTCCTCCCTCCTCCTCCTCCTCCTCCTCCTCCTCCCTCCCTCCTCCTCCTCGTCCTCCCTCCTCCTCCTCCTCCTCCTCCTCCTCCTCCCTCCTCCCTCCTCCCTCCTCCTCCTCCTCCTCCTCCTCCTCCTCCTCCTCCTCCTCCTCCTCCTCGGCGGGGCGGCGCGATCTGGAGCCCGCTCCCCTGCATGCACCACCCAACCCAAGCCACCCCAAAACCCAACCCGAAGGCCAAAGTCGCCCCTCGATTTCCAGTGTGGGGGGGGATCGGGGCACAGGGAAAAAACACACGCTCCTCTGCATTCACCACCCACTAAGCCACCCCAAAACCCAACCCGAAGGCCAAAGGCGACCCTCGATTTCCAGTGTGGGGGGGGGGTCGGGGAACACGATCAAAAACTCATGTGGAGCCCGGACCCCCCACCCCCCAACCCGAACTTCGGGTCTTCGGGTTCGGTTGGGGTGGTTTGGTAGGCAGTGATTGATGCCGCCGTCGCCAATGCATCGGGGAACCTCCGACCCGAGGGGCTCTGGCCACATCAGGGAGGCCTCCACTCATCGGACGGGCCTGCAATCGAGGTAAATCCGTTCCAGAGCGTTCCGGAACGCTCTGAGAAGACCGCGGCGCCCGAGACATCTTCCAGAGTCGCCAGATCTCAGAAATTCTCGATTGACCCTCATCCGATGTTATCCTCGTCTTGGTTTCGTCTTACAGGGGGCCTCCATTAAGGCCCCATTCCCGCCCCCTTCGCAGGCTGGTCGAGAACCTGAACGGCAACATCCCGTCTGGCATGACGACTCCGGCGCCGCGGGGCTGAATCGCGGCCCCAAATGCCCAGGGCCACCATGAGGGTGCGGGGTTACCCATCGGTCGTTAAAAGTAAGCATTTCTGGAGTCCCAGATTCCAATCTATTTTAGGCGTTTTCCTACTTCAATGATCGAGTGGTTTCACTGTTTCCGTCCCCCTCAGGGGGCGGGCGGACACCCAATCTACTTTCAACGCCTTCCTGCTTCATGCTTCTACATACTTCTTCCGACCGATGGGTATTCGCGTTTCGCGGTCTGGGCGATGTCAGAGCGAGAGGGAGGGGCGGGCGTGGGGGGGGCGCGAGAGCGCGATCGGTGCAGGTAACGGTAACTACATATGTAGTCCGCAACCCGCCTCTTCCAGCAAAATCCCAATGCATCTGGTTTAATCCAGCTTAATCGGGCATAATCGCGGGCCCAATCCGGCCTATTCTGGTATATTGTTGTTTGAGTCGGGCGGTTTAGCCCCTAACCGTTCTGCCCAAGACCTCCCAGGATCTGTTTCTTGGTGATTGCCTTCACCATTCCGCTCTACTCCTTACCCTCTCGGGTGGAGTTCAGTGCCCAGTGCGATTGAATTTGCTGTCTGTCGAAAGGCGCAGTCGTCCTCACAAACTCTCACCCTGCGCCGGCCCCGCCCTCAGCCTCCTCGTCTTCTCATCCTCTTCGACCCTCGGCTATCAGCGTGCTCCTCGATTCTGGAGGCCAGGCATTTCCCTCTGCCGCTTTGGCTACATTGTCGGGAAGTCATGGGAGTCTTGAGGGCGAGCGATCTTCCCTTTTCCTCGAGCAAGGGCGTTGGGACGAGAACACAGTCATGATATTTGCGGTTCCCACCCTCGTCCGTTCTCACCTTCAGCATTCAAGTCAGCCGCGGTGGTGGGGATGCCCTGCCTCATCAGGGCCGCACGATCAGCTGCGGTCCGATGTTCGCATTGCATTGCGTTGTTTTGTGTGTGTGTGCGTGTGTGTGTGTGTGTGTGTGTGTGTGTGTGTGTCGTGGCGCGGCCGGCTCGATTCGATTCCGACTCGTTGCCGATGCAGCCCGATCCGACGCACATTCCGATACGATGCCGACTGCTCTTGCCCTCGGCCGTTTCTCATTTTCAGCAATCCAGGCTCTAGGCCTCCAAAGCTAGGGCAACCACGAGGGTGCGAAGTTTGTCGCGCCCTCGTGGTCTCGGCGATTTCAGAGTGAAGCGCGCGAGGCCCTCACCTTGTTCTGGAGGGGTGGGGCGGCGGGTCGCACAAATGAAATCGAGCTTTGCGTTTCGCGAAGCGCGAAGCGCGAAGATAGCTGCCCTAGCGAAGACACTAGAAGAGACAATTACACATAAACGTTCCATGGTCTGCGCGGACCTCATGGGTCTGTGTTGGCCCCCTTGCGGCGCGTCTGGCGCCGCCCTTGGCACGCTCCGCGCGCCAAAGGGCGATCGAGCACTGATCCAAGAGATCGGTGCGGACCTCCGCAATTGTCTGCTGATGTTGCTGCTTCTTGTTCTGGCAGCGTCGCTCGGGGCCTCCGACATAGGACCGGGGCAGACGGGTTCGGAGGATCCCGCCGCACCGCCGACGCTGCGGCGGTGCGGCGCGATCTGGACCCTGCCCTGGCTGGCCCCGCGCACGGGTCTGCCGCTGGCGGCAGCTGCAGAGGCCGAGCGCGGGCAGTCCAAGGCTGAGCTCCGCCGGTGGCCCGGAGTCGGCCGACGTCGAGCGAGCCTGCGCGATCGGCCAGCCGCGACCGCTCAAAGAGGAATCCGCCCGCACGGGATCGGAGACCAACGCGAAAGTTGTCATGGCAGGAGGCGGAGAGGAACTGCGTCACCGCACACGAGGAGTCGGAGGTCCGCGCGGATGTCTTGGGTCGCCGATGGGGGCGCGCCGTGCGTGCCGGAGGAGGAGTGTCCAGCGCCGATCCAACAAACTTGCACGGACCTCCGAAAGGAATTGTTCATGTCGCCCTTGCTCCTTTGGAGGGTGGAGGGCGGGCAGAGTGGGCTCGCATGGGCGTTCCCGGCTACGCCCCTCCTTCATCAGGGGGGGGGACTGACCCAGGGGGAGGAGCATCGATACCCGCCGATCGGGCATTGGGGCCCCATCCCCGCCCTGGAACGTGCGGCTTCGCTTTTTCACCGATCGGTTGGCGATGCGTACCCGATTCCGTGGCAATTTTTCCCCACCTGGGACGGCCCCTCCTCATCGTTCCCCCGCACCCTCCGGCCCTCTCAGGTGCGCGTCAGCTTCGCCTCCAAGGGAGGGCACTGCAAGGGCGGCAAGGGCGAAGGTCGATCGATACGCCTGGGCGGGGACCACACGAGGGAGGGCTTTTGCCGACACGGGTCGTGCCTTTCTTCGCCATCTTCTTCTCCCTCTTCTTCATCCTCACTCCTCATCTTCGTCGTCGTGGCCCCCTATTCGTCCGCCTCCTCGTCCTCCTCCTCGTCCTTATGCTCGTCCTCCTTCCCCTCCTCCCCTTCCGTTATACGTGCTTCTTCGTACCTTGCGTTCTTACGCAGGCCACCGAGATGGCGCGGCGCAGTCTCCCTGCCCGTCGCCGACAGCTGACGGAAACCCACTGAAACGCTTCCTTGCCTCAGATGAGCGACGCAGCATGTCTCGGGGGTGGACAGACCTCCTACCCTGTCACGTCGATTAGCGAATTGGCCGTTTTGAGTTCGCGAGAGGGCGTCGCGGCCGTCATTTTTGCGAGTCCAGGTCCGTCGGTTTCGGTCCCAGGCCGTTCTCACTGAAGGGAGGTTTACCTAGGGAGGTTTGTCCACCGCCGAATGTCACCTCGCGCAAGGCCCGTTTCTCTTCGTCGCTCAGATGGCAAACAAACAGCGCTGAGGACTGTGCTGCGGGCTGCGCGCCGTGCTGACCTCTCCTCTCCTTTTCGGGTCCAGGGTCTGCCCGTGGCCCGCCTGCCCGTGCTCTCTTGCCGCTGCCATACGCGTCGTGGGCTCGTGTCGGAATGTCGCAGTGCCGCCCGCGTGACGCCCACCTTGCGAGGTGCCGTGTTTACACACGTGCTGGTCGGGTCCAGAGCGAAAGTTGGGGAACAGAGCAGGGCATTCCCCTGGCGTTCCGAAAACGGGCCAGTCCACAGGTTCAGAGGGCGGCGCCGAGAGCCGCCGAAGCTCACACGTCTTGCCGCCATGCGTTGCGGTCTCCGCCTGCACACCCTCACCACGACTTGGTGCTGGGTGCGCCACGTATGCCGCCCTTGACGAGTCCTGCTTCTCTCTGGTTGCGCCGCAGGCTGCGCGCACGGGCACAGGAGCTGAAAGCCTCTTGCTGCATGTGGTGCGATAGGTTGCGGCCTCGGCCGCCAAATCTTCTTGGAAAAAAGCACACACCAATATACTCAAAAGAAACACGCGGTGGCAAACCACACACTGTTTTTTATTTTTCTACTGACGCCCCTGCAGTTGCTTGGGCTGGTAAGGTGCGCCCATGGCCGCCGAAGCTTCGCTCCTCCCTCTGTGGCGGCCTCGGCCGCTGAGGCTGCACACGGCATGGTCTTTGGTGGGTGCGCCCTGCGTCGCGCCCGCGGCCGCCGAAGCTCAAAACCTCATGCCCGCAGCGTGTGTCCCCCCCTGGTCGCTACAGTGCACACTGCGTTGCGGTGCACTGCGAGAACGGTGGCGCCCTCGGCCTCCGAAGCCTGCAACATTCTGCGATGCGTTGGCGACCGGGTCAGTGCAACCAGCGAGCCGCTTCCGACACAAGCTCGGGACACCTCCCCAGACAGAAGTGTCGTAAACATACATCGGTATACAGTCGAGGGGAGCCTCGCTGGCGGGCTTGCAGCTTGCATGACACGTAGCGGCGTGCAGTCTTGTCGACGCGTGTTGAATTACACCTCGGCGTAGTCACACCCCCCAGCAAAAAAGGCGAACGAACATGCCAACGGGCGTTCGCAGGCCTGTTCGATGTTATGTTGTTGTTGGTGTTCTTGGTACCCTCCTTTTATATATATATATATATATATATATACTTGCCCATACCAGAAACAATCCGCACGCAACAGAGGCACTTCCTCTTGCTTCCCGATCCGGAGCCAAGGAAACACAATGTTGGGACCGTCCTAGTTCTGTGTCTGGTTCTCCTGGGAACCGGCCAAGCTCTCCAGAGACACTTTTGAGCCATGTCGAGGCATCGCAGGCCCATCGGCAACCGATGAAGCAAGATCGCGGACAGCATTCAAGCACCTTTGGTTTCCATTGAAGTCCTGCAATTTAAATCCTCTTACCGAGCGTATTCTCACATGCCCATCCTTGTCCAATGCCCTGCTCACCTGCCTGTCTCCTGTGCATCCCCTCCTCGATGTCTGCGCATCCTCCAGCTCCCTCGCCTCCTTCCTGCCGCTGCCCCTCCTCTTCCAAATCGTCGCTGCTGTCCTCGTCGTCCCTGCCCCCCTCGTGTTCCTCCCCGGCCGCCCCCCTGCTGACCCACCGATGTCCTCGCCTCTCGCACCCCCCCTCTCCTCTAAAGCCAAATCCCCCCTATCCCCCTTCGGACGGCGCCGATTGCACGCCCCGCCCGCCAGCCACGCCGCCCACTCCCCCTTCTCTCCTCCTCCCCTCCACCTCGTCGGATCCAGCCCCCGCGCCCCCCTGGCGGAGGGGGCACGGGCCGCGGGTCTGCCCCCCCGTGCCCTTTCGGGTCGTCTGCAGGGCTCTGCCCCGCCACGCCGCCCTCGCTCCGGGCGTGTCGAGCAAAGGGGGCGGCCGCGCCCCGCCCTACGGCAAGGGCTGAGGGCCTCCTCCTTTTCCTCCTCCCTCCTCTCTCCTCCCTCCTCCCTCCTACCTCCTCCTCCTCCTTCCCTCCTCTTCCTCCTCCTCCTCCTCCTCCTCCTCCATTCTCCTCCTCCTCCTCCTCCTCCTCCTCCTCCTCTTCCATCCTCCTCCTCCTCCTCCTCCTCCATTCTCCTCCTCCTCCTCCCCCCCCGCCCCGTCGGGAGCGCGGCGGCCGCCGCGCCTCCGCCCGTTCGGGTCAAAAAAGTGAGGCGGCCGCCGCGCCGCCGCGGCCTCCGGGCTCGTCGCAGGAGGCAGCAGCAGTCGGGCTCGGGCCTGTCGGCCCTCAGTGTCGTCGAAGCGATCCCCCTTCCGACTGGGCCATGGCATCTCTCACATGAGGACGAGGTACCGCATCTCTCCTCGCCACGGCTGGATTCTCTGAGACTTCTGGGCCTGAGCGCACCCCTGGAGAGGTTTTGGGGAGCAGCGGTAACGGGACTTCTTCCGTTTGCCAAATATTTGCCCTTCAACCTCACCATCCTGGCCCTCAGTTCGGGATAGGTCCCACAAAATTCTTTACGCTTCGCGTATCCCCACCAGCCCATCTCACAACAGCAACTCTTGCGAAGCATGCCGACAGTCGTGTTTTTCAGGCGTGTGTCCGCTTACCCCCGCATATCTCCCCTGTTCCTCCTTCCTCCCGCCTCCTTGTACATCCTCCTTGTGGTGGGAGCGGGAGAAGGACGAGGCGGAGGAGGAGGGAGAGAAAGCGCTCCTCGTGGTTTGAGTCGTTCGGGCTTCTCGTCCTGGTGTGAGTCGTTCGGGCCCTTCTTCCTGGTGTGAGTCGTTCGGGCTCTTCGTGGTGTGAGTCGTTCGGGCTCTTCGTCCTGGTGTGAGTCGTTCGGGCTTCTCGTGGTGTGAGTTGTTCGGGCCCCTCGTCCTGGTGTGAGTCGTTCGGGCCCCTCCTCCTGCCCGTCCAGAAACGACGCCCAGGCGAGTAGAGGTTCGTCCTGATGGGCTTTTCGGCGTCTTGGGTGCCTCGGGGGGGCCTCTTTGGGCCGTTTGGGATCCTCTTGGGGGCCTCCTGGGGGCCTCTTGGGGCCATCTCGGGGCCTCTTGGTGCCTCCTGGGCGCTTCTTGGGGCCATCTTGGAGGAAATCGATCAAAGAAGAGGGGAGCTTTAATTAGCGCTGCCCCCTCAGAAGGTCAAAATGGGGCCAAAACCTTAGTCAAATCAATGATTTTGGCTTGAAAGAAGAGGGGAGCTTTAATTAGCGCTGCCCCCTCAGAAGGCCAAAATGGGGCCAAAACCGTAGTAAAATAAATGATTTTGGCTTCAAAGAAGAGGCGAGCATTTCCGTCAGTCCCCCCGTCGGGGCCACGATCCTCGTGAGGGGTGTCGAATTTTAGCGCTCCCAATGGTCGGAAAAAAGGACCCTCCAACCACCCGCGAAAGGCCCCCTCCAGGTCCAGGGGGAGGGGGTAGGGGGAGGGGTAAACCCCTCCCCGAAGGGGAAGAAGGGGGTTGAGAACAGAGAGAGCTCGCTAAACCACTCACGCCCAGAGGGCTGGTGGAATTCGAGCGGAACAGTATCTATCGCAATTTGAGAGGGGAATCGTCCAGTCGGGCAGGGGCCATGCGATTGGGGGTGGGGATCGATGACACAATGTCCATCGGCCGATCAATCCATTCTATCATCGAGGGGGAAGAACACACCGACATCATGACTGGCATTTGCCAAGCAGTCCTGGGCGTTTGCAAGACAGTCCTGCGCTTTCCAGTCCTTTCGTTGGGCTGCGCTTGCCAAATGGTTTCGCGTTCATGATTGCTGATTGTGAGGGTAGGTATCTTGCCTTGTATTGCAATTTCGGGAATTCGTAAACCTACGTATTCTAAATACTCTGCCTACGGAGTCACAACATTGGTTAAGCACGTCGGACTTGTGTCGTAAGAGCATTGGTCTTGTTGCTAGAACATCCCTGCACTCTAATATTATTCCGTGGTAGGCGACTAGGCATGCAGGGGCGGGTCAGTGTTCGAAACAGCCTTTCAACAAACGTAAAACGTCGCGATGACCACTTGTGTGTACGTAGATTTTCGGCCCAGGCCCGTCCCTCCTTCCCCCTCTATTGCCGGGAGCGTGGGGCGAGAGATGGCGTATTATATATCGTATTGCGTAGGTTCGTCGTTATTGCAGGCGGCCGCCACGTTGTTATGTATTGCTCAGTTGCAGTCGGTCGAGTCGGCAAAAACACGTTGGTGCAGACAAAGGGGAACAAGAAGAGGTTGACGAGGGGGAGGAAGAGGAGGAAGAGGAGGAGCAGGCGGACGAGGACGAGCACGAGCACGAGCATGAGCACGAGCACAAGCACGAGGAGGAGAGGTATGAGCAGGGAGGAAGACGAAGGAGGAGGATTTGGATTGCGCTCTGATTCGCCGAGGAGACGGTCAGCCTGGTGCGGCTTTCAGTCGCTGCTGGCAGAAACACGCGGTATCTAGTAGCACCGGCGCCAAGGTTTGGTGAAACTCCCCGCCCCCGTCACCTATCCCGTACCGCCCCCATATCGTCGGAAAGCGCTCAAGGCGCACTGCAACGCAACAGGAGTAGGCAAAAGGCAAGAGGAGGCGTATCAAATATGGGGGCAGTTGAGATGGTCTGCGAAAAGCCCAAAGGGCAGCTAAGTGGGCGTGTACGAGGCAGGGGCCAGCGATGGGCACGATTTTCGCACGCTCGACCTGTGTCCCATGCCTACCACATCGCCGCAGTGCGAACTACGTCCCCGCCAACAAACCTATACCCAGGGGAAGTGTGGAAGGTGAAACTGCTGGGCTTGTCTGATGCGCGGGCAGAGCCTGCGCGCGTGTCTGGCCGCCCCGAAAGAGGCGCACCTGGCACGGCGCCCGAAACTTCTCGACTTGGGCAAGATATGCAAGCACCAAGAGGCAAGAGGCCGACGAAAAGGCAGCTGAGCGGGGGGCGGGGGCGAGGCAGGGGCCAGCGGGAGTGCGCGATTTTCGTGCGCTCGACCTGCGGCCAGTGCCTGCTCCAACGCCACAGTAGAACCCCCTTCCAGGTCAACATACCAGTCCCAACCCCGGTCCCGACCATAGTAAGCTGGAAGCTATGCAGGGAAGAAAGGAGGTTGAGATGGCCTGGCGAGCCCGATGCGCGGGCGCGGGCAGGCGCGCGTGTCTGCCCTGCCCGCCCCGAGAGAGGTTCGCCGCGCAAGGCACGGCGCCCGAAACCTTTCGAACTAGGGCGGCAGCTGGGGACAGAACGTAGAGAGAAGCGCCGAGATCGTAATCGAGGCAAGGAAGGCAGCAACAGCATGGTCCTGAGTCATCATGCCGCAGGCCCCCCGGTGTTGCATGCCATCAGAGAGCGGGCGGGCAGAGAGAGGGGGCTGAAAGAGGCTGCACAGCAGATTGCGGCAAATTGCTACTCTGCACCTCCACTTCTCCGCACAAAAACCGAGCAACAATCCCCAACTTCCCGTGATAGATTGCAGACAGCAACTTATCCAAATACGTTTTTGCCAAAATTAGGATCCAGGGCCCTAGGGGCTACTTCGCGCAAGTGAGCCTCTTTCTCTCTCTCTCTCTCTCTCTCCCTTTCTCTCTCTTTTATTGTGTTCCTCTCTCTCTCTCTTTTCCTGGGGTTTAGCAGCCCTTTTGTTACGTGCCTGCGCACGGTTCTGCGCATTGCGCTCCAATACTGCAGGCGCTAGCGGCACAGGGGCGGGCGGGAGGGGAGGATCTGTTTCCTTCTGCGATTCACCAGGAAAAGCACGTGCCTCGACATACTCCTGCTCCTCAGCCTCAGGCGGGCCTGTAGGTCTAACCTACGCCATGTCATCTCGAACCTGCGATGTGGCAGAGGTGACTTGATCTGATGCCGGGGGGACGTAGCGGTCGAAAACGATCAAGTTCGGGGTCGTGTCGGACATGGCGTGTGCGCCGAGAAACAAAGTCAGGAGCCCATCCTTCGTCTGTGCCTGAATAGGGATCCCAGGAGACAAGGAAGCGTAGCAGTCCGTCACGTACTCTACCTTCCTCCCCCATGTCGCCTGGACTACTGCCCACATCCCCCACCCACATGGCACGCACTGCATCAGCGGTGGCAGCAGCGATGCACTTGCACAAGCCGGCGGGATACGTGTTCTTTTGGGCTGTGCGCCACTCCCCCCCGTATTCGTGTCCGCCCCTACCGTGCGAACATCTGCTGTTTCCAGGGGTCGCAAGCAGTGTTGCGCGCAGCCCTGGCAGTCTAAGTGCAACGATCCTAGTGGGGGCCCTTGACGTCTGACCATGTTCACACTGATCAAAATCGGTCGTCGAGACTGCTGGGGACGACTGGAAAGCACGCGTCGGATGGCAGGTAAGCGAGCTGACGGCTTTAAGTCTCCATTCGCACGGCTGGGGGTGCTCGAGCCAACATGACGTCCCAGCCTGCGTGTGTGCAGAGCGAAGAGTTCATGCATAGCATGGCATAGCGCATTGCCCACCCACAGGTGTTCCCTCTGACGCTCACTGCCTGCTGTCTTGCCCAAAAATTGGTCATGCGTACGCAGTGGCGGTGGGTCTGGACCATCTGCCAATCGAGAGGCAGACCAGGTCTCACGCGGAGGCCCGCCACCCGACACCACCATTCGTCGTGCAAGGATGCGAGACCTCCATGCTGCAAGTGTGTCCCGATTCATGGGATCCCCATCCACTGCGTGCATGGCCGTATCCACAAGCAGGACATAGATCGCATCGCGTGAGCTATAGTGCCCACATTCAACCTGTGCCTGCACAGCCCCCGCCCTCATCCGCCCACGAAACAGATTCAGGACAAAGTATCCGACTCGTCTGATGGCCTTCGGCATGGGCTCGGCTGCGATGCCAGTGTACCGTTCTGTCAAGAAAAGACGACTCGGACATCTCTCACTGGCGCACTGCACACGGTTGGCCGGCGACGGTGGCAGAGCAGCGGCATTCTTTGGAGTTGGTATGCGAGCAGCGACCCCAGCTGGGAGAGCGGGGTCAGCGGTCGCAATCTCCAAACGTGCAGTGCCATGGTCCATTGTAGCCATCACTGCAA